CCAAGAAAAGAGTGAGCTAAAGAGGTGTCTTTTTTTTTTTTTGCAGATCTGAGTTCTTTTATTTATTTTTTGGGACAGGGGGCATTTTAAAAAATCATTTTACTGGGGGCTCGTACAATTCTTATCACAATCCATACATTCATCCATTGTGTCAAGCACATTTGTACATTTTTTGCCATCATTCTCAAAACATTTACTCTCTACTTGAGCCCTTAATATCAGCCCCTCATTTTCCCCTCCCTCCCCACTACCCCCTCCTTCATGAACCTTTCCTAATTCACACATTATGATTATTTTGTCATATCTTACACTGCCCGACATCTCCCTTCACCCACTTTTCTGTTGTCCATCTCCCAGGGAGAAGGTTATATGTAGATCCTTGTAATCGGTTCCCCCTTTCTACCCCACCTTCCCTACAGAGTTCAGAAGGCTGTAGATCTGTAAACAGCAGAATGCCTCATGTTCCCCCCTCTAAACTACTGGTGGGTTTAAACTACTGACTTTGAAATTAGCAGCCTAGCTTATTACCCACTATGCCACCAGGGTTCCAAGGGATAACATTTTAGAATTCTTAAGACAAATATTTAGTGGGAGTTTTTAACTGCTAAATATTTATGACTAATACTTATTGTTCCTAATACAAGGTCTTTTGCCCACCTGCCAATTCTAATCATTCAAATACCCAGAAAGCAAAGATTTTGATAAAAACATTTATATATGAAATTTAAATTTTCTGCAAATGTCCTAACTGTAATATTTTTTCATGAGTTTTCTGATGGCACACTTTATTTGTTCGTTTCTAAGACTGTAGATGACGGGGTTGAAGAGTGGGGGGACTATGGAATAGAACACAGAGAGGACAATATCCTGGAGAGTTGCAGAGATCGCAGATGGCCTCAAGTACACATAGAAGCCTGAGCTGAGGAAGATGGACACCACAAGTATATGGGGGACGCAGGTAGAGAAGGCTTTTGATCTGTCTGTTTTACTGGGGAACTTGAGCACAGTAGAAAATATGTGAGTGTAAGACCAAATGATGAAAATGAAGCAGCCTCCACCAATACCCAGACCTGATGCAAGGATGATGATTTCATTGATGAAGGTGTCAGAGCAGGAGAGTTTCAGGAGAGAAGGGATATCACAAAAAAATTGATGAATAACATTGGACTGACAAAATGGCAGCCTGAAGGTATTGCCTGTATGGAAGCCTGAGTAGACCAGACCACTGAGGATGGATGTGAGAGTCATATGAGCGCAGGCCCGAGGGGTCATGATCACAGTGTAGTGGAGAGGCTGGCAAATGGCCACATAGCGGTCACGGGCCATGGCAGTAAGGAAGAGTAGCTCCACATATACGAAGAAAACCACGAAGAAGACCTGAGATATACATCCTAGCCTTGAAATCGCATTGCTATTAAGCAGGGAATTGACACACGAATTAGGTACTGTTACAGAAATGTAGCATGCATCCAAGATGGACAGATTCCTGAGAAAGAAGTACATGGGGGTGTGAAGGCTCTTGTCCATGGTTGTGACAATAACAATGAGAGCATTTCCAATAACAGTTACCAAATACATCACAGAAAAGGATATGGTATGCAAAATCCGTAGTTCCCATGTGTCAGAGTACCCCATCAGGAGAAATTCCATTATCATAGTCGAATTGGGCATCTTTGGATGAGGCAGCTCGTATAAGGGAGGCAATGAGCGAAATCCTGAATACAGGAAGGAATAAATTATGAGATGATGTCTTTCAATTGTTTTTTTTTTTCATTTCAGAACGCTTTCCTATTCTAATCTCATTTAATGTTCCTAATATTTTGGAAGGTAATTTATGCTGTGCTTTCATAGCATCTATAATATTCATAGTCCTATTTTAGGAATGAAGTGAAAGTAGAACATCTTCTCAAAAAACCCCAGGCATTTAAATGATTGCTACATCCTTAGGTAGAGCCGTGGAACCCTGGTGGCATAGGGGTTATGAATTGGGCTTCTAACACAAGGTCCACTGTTCAAATACAACACTTACTGCATAGAGGAAAGATGATGCTTTCTACTCCATTAAGTTGTTACAGTCTCTAAAGCAGTTTTAGACAAGACCCATTTTCTTCTCTATAGGTAAGGTGCCAGAACCTTGGCTGAGGAATAAGGACAAAGAACCAATGTAAGCAATCGTCTCAGTCACTGACAGCTAAAAACAAGCTTCTCTTAAACATTGAGATAGTAACTTTTACTCTCGTGATCACTTTAAATAATATATACTCATTTATTTTATGTATTGATTGACTTAACACATACGTATTTAGTGCTGCTACAGGATAGGAGTTTGAGTAATAAAACGGAAATATCCTTATCCTTATAAATATATTATTAAAAGAGATGTGGACTAAACAGTTAAATATCTAAGAAGTAAATTTTTAATGAAAAGTATATTTTATTTTACCACACAACCTTGTTTGATGAAAGTGAAACTATTTGATACTTACTACAGCCTTCTCATTTTCTTTATGTTAAGGTATAATCTATACTGCAAGGTAATTAACAACATGCAACATACAGATGACTAACCTTTCTTACAGAAAGCCATGAAGACGCCAAGTGCTTACTGATGATAATAAGACTTTTGTCTTCAGTTTGGGTCGAAACTCAATGTGAAGAAAACAAAAATCCTCTTAACTAGCCCAATACAGAACATTGTTAAAAAAAGGAGAAAAGATTGAAATTTTTCTATGATTTCATTTCACTTGGATCTACAATCAAGCACATGGAAGCAGTGATCAAAAGTCAAATGACATATTGAATTGGGCAAAACTGCCACTAAGCAACCACCACCACAACAAAAACAAGACCTTTTAAAATTGTTAAAAGCAAAGATGCCCTGTTGAGAACTAGCATGTACTTGACTCAGTCCATACTATTTTTAAATGCCACATAGATACATGCAAGTATGATGAAGTAAATACTGAATGAGGTTTGATATTGAAATATGGTGTTGGCTAAGAATATTGAATATCACGGATGAACAAAAAACTAACAAATCTGTCTTGAAAGAAGTACAACTAGAATGTGGCTTAGGATTGAGGGTGGTAACATTGGTTGAATTTCATGTTCTTAAAGAGATAATAAATAGATAACACATAACCTTTTGGGTAACACTATAAAAGATACATCTTTTTATCTGGTAGAATACATCTGCTAGTTATTTAATAATACATTAAATTATCTATTTATATATTCAGTCATTGATTCAATAATTCTGGAAATTAAAACTGAAAGCCTAACAGTTCAATTATAAGTGAAATCCATTTCAGTAGGGTTTATTCCAACTCACAGCTTCCCTATAGGATAGAGAAGAACAGTTTCCTAGGGCTTCCAATGCTAGGGTCTTTATGGAAGTGGGCTACCACATCTTTCTCCCCACAGCTACTTATGAACTTAGCATGTGGAACCACAGTGCCAGCAGTGATTATTTAATTGGAAATTATAACTTACTTTTTAGCATGGTGTTTAAATCTTCAAATGCACATATAATGCACTGCTTTTCATTTTTATATGGTTAAATTTTCAAATATATATTTATGTACTTCTTTCTTCCTGCTTTTGATAGATGTCACTATCTAATTTTCTGAGTGATTTATATAGAGTTATTAAATGAGTTTTGAAGATTGTTTACATCTTCGATTGGTAGGTGCCCAAAATAGAATTATTCATATTATTTTGAATATCTAACTCACCTCTATGGCCACAGTGCTTGACAAAATGAGAGTGGTCATAACAGTGGTCACTGCTTAATTGCTTTTTTCCAGCTTTTAACTGATCATGTATTCTTTAATTTACTTTGAATGAATCCATGTATGAAGTATTTGGCTTGAATAATATTTTACTAAAATATTAAAATTGGTGTGTTATATTGGTATCTATATAGTTTTGTTTTCACTCTCATTTCATTGTGTCTTCCCACATAAGATAGGAGGAAATGTAAAGTGATGAAGTGAAGCATCCATATGGAAGCCAGAGAATAGTTCAAAATAATAACAACCATGGAAAAAAATACTCACTGTCTTGGATCTTGGTAGTAGAATCCGTCCTTTAATATCACTTTCACCCAAATAGACCATCAAATGTAGATTAATGAAATGGGGGAAGTGCTGCCTAAGACACTGTTACTTGTTAATTTATAGACTGCAGTAGGATGCTCTAACTAAGGACACAGGGTCCACATTTACATAAATATGTGTCAATTACCATGTCATCGAGATAAGGCTTTGGGGATCTCAGCTCTCAACATCGAGTAGTCACTAGAGTCTTAGAAGGAGCTCAGGAGATCATTGTCTCTTGGTAATGATTTTTAAATAATTTTAAAATAAGTGAACTGGAACTTAAAAAAAAACTTATGCAATACTTACCTGGCAGGAGAGATACCATGATGATGAAGGTGGTTTTCCCAGGCGAGGCTTATCCATTGCACCCCAGATGTGCTGGCCCCTACGATTCCCCCAGTGTGGGAAACTCAACTGCATAATCTGTGGTAGTGGGGAAGTGCGTTCGCGCTCTCCCCTGTAAAAACAAACAAACAAACAAAAATAAAGTATATATGCTAGCACTAGGGATATATATTTGGAAATATAAGTAAACCCAAATCTCATAAACTATGTTTCAGATAAATTACGTTTCATCAATATTATAATAGTACTATAAAAACATAAAAACCTTCATTATCTTATCACTCAAAAAAGTTGTAAGGAGAGAACAGATGTGTTAGGAAACCTCTGTGATCTAGACAGTGCTCTGCTGTAAATCTCAGTGAAACCACTTCAACTGCAAATGGTGTAAATATTTAATCATTTTTTTTCCATAGAAGTCTTGGTTAGGCATAAATGAAACAATGCAATACTTGTATTTTAAAATAACCAAGCATTTATATATTAGTGATAAAGAATGTGTCAGGTAGCTGATAAAAAGGGTCCTCCAGTTAAAAGGGAACAGTAGTGGTTTAGTGGTAGGATCCTTGGCCTCCATTAGGGGATGTGGATTCAATTCCTGACAATGCGCCTCACGCATAGCTATTACATGATTGTAACTAAAGGCTTACGTGCTGCTCTTATACTGAGCAAGTTTTACAAGTTCTCCCAGGCTAACATGAACTAGAAAGGAAGAGCTAGCAATTTGCTTCTGAAAGTCATCCAAAGAAAATCTTTTGGTTAAAACTGTCTAATATGAAAATGGTAGTGGGGATGATGCAGGAGGGTGGGGCTTCATTTAGCCCAGTATTGCATGGGTCTTCATGAGTCAGAGGCTGACTTGATTGCAGCTAAAAACAATTATTGGGAAAGGAACGCATGTAAGTGTTCAATGGTCACACTAATCCTCTTTGGCTGCCTTACGGCTTAGGAGGATAAAATGTGGAATTCTTCTGGATCATAGAGATTTCCAGCCCCTTCACAGTCCGGTTTTTATGCAGTACCCATCACGGTGTCATAACATCGAACCAATTAAACCATGTGCACCTACATTTTATGCGCCGGTTTGGAAACAGTAAATAACAAAAACAACAGAAATATCTGTCAGTAGCAACTATTTTAAAAAATCATGTTTTTTTCCCAAATGCAGACTGTTATATCATTCCACCTTGAAGTGGCTAGTGTGGTATATTTCAGTCACTGAACTTTGAGTTAAGAGATAAATGCATCAATCAATGTTCCTCCTTTTCTCCTTAAACAAGCAAACTAATAAACCCATTGCCATCAAGTCAATGCTGACTCATAGGAACCCTCTAGGTCACAGTAGAACTACCCTTGTGAATTCCTGAGACTGTAACTCTTTACATGAGTAGAAAGACCATTTTTACAACCCTCCTTAATTAGGCTACAGGTATTTGTAAAATTTGAATATTAAGCAATATAGATAATTTAAACTAATATAAATAATTAGCTATTTCAACTAAATGGCTAATGATATTTAAATTGGACTTGTTTCAATAATGCATTGACTGAACTTCAAGAATTTTAAAATGAAAATAAATGGTAGATATCTATGATATACGCAAATGCCATGAATTTTAAGAGAATTTTTAGGGACTCTAACCTTTTTAGAGACTGTATAGAGCAATTTTATGTTTAGGTTAACATTTTTTAGAAGAAGAGAGAGTTCACATATAACTCTTCTCACAGAAAATTATTTCTCTTATTACCATGAGCATAAATTCTTCTCATAGAACCATACCCTTTTTCATAAGCTTACTGCAAATGGACTATTGAGAGGCATTACAAATATACACATGATATCTAAGATAATTAAAATAAATTGATTTTAATATCCAAAACACATTTTAAGTTCTTGTAATAATTATTATAAATAAAGATTGATATAAAAGTACAAAATAAGGGGAAAACATAAGAGAAGGTTTGAAATAATGGACAAACACTAGAATGTAGCAATGGAAATTATATGCTAGCATCCTAGAATAGAAGATTTTTAAAACAAGGAAGAAGAGGTGAAATAATTTCAAACTAAGAATTTTGGAATATAATATGAATGCAATTTGAAAATGACTATTGAGAAATGACACCTTAGACTCCATGTACCTTTACTGGAATTAGTAAATACCGAATTATATCTTCTAATGAAGATATTATAAGAATGAGATGCTCAGAAGTTGACAAACTGATAAAATGTTCATTTTTAAGGAAGCACAGATATCATTTAATAAAACTGCTATC